TGGTAAATCGCTGTCACATTTTTATGTTCTACAGAAATTATCACCACTCGCATGAGCATGATATGATGTTGAAGTCATACTTTAACACGAAAGAAACCGCGTTACATTCCAATGTCTCAAAAATAAAAATTTGATATGTCTGACCTTGTCAAAAGCCTCAGAGAGATCGAAATACACTACGTCAGTTTACCTTGACGAAGGCAGTAACTCGGTAAAAAAATGGAGCCAAACACAAGGTATTACTGAAACTTCCTTTGAAAAAACCCACTCTTTGGTCAAAAGGATGTTCATCAGTCATCTATTTGGAAAACTAATTGAATTTGCTTGAAGCAGTTACGCTAATTGCTATAATTCGAGATGTTAATTGCTTAATTTTCTGGAAATAGCAGAAAAAATACAGGTTCCTGCCATATTTTTGCTATGGCGCCCTCTCAGAAATTCAAGTTGAAAATGCGCATAATCAGTGTACAAAACGCACTGGCCCAATTTTTGCAAAAATCGAAAGAATGCCATCAAACCAAGCGAAGTTGTTTGTGTGTATCAAAAATATAAATACAGTAAGATGTTGGAAGACTTATATCCTAAAAGCTTGATTTCGTGCTATTAGGAAAATAAGGCTTTTATGTTGTTATCATCATTGTCATTATATACAAATTGTGCAAATACAGTTGGCTTGGCTGTTGATACCTTGCACACCTTAGCATATGAGCTATTTTGAGGAGGACAAGATATCTGAATGAAGAATCTTTCTTTTTGTTGTAACAAATTATGAATGTGCAGGAAGTAATTTGGAGACTGAACTCTATAGAAATGGAAAGGTATGTAGCAAAGCATAGTAGATAACGGTGCAGAACCGTCGGTAAGTTCACTCATACTTGCGCAGTTATTGAAAAGATTTACCTATATTATACATCTATCAGTCCTATAAAGGATCCGTTCTCTGGCTATTATTCTTCTCGAGATAAGTCCGAATTCCATTTCCTAGTGAAAGAAAAGGAGGATATTATGCAGCCAAAAAATCCATTTCAGGGAGTTAATTTTTAGGGGTTTCACCTCAAATAGGAGTAGCCGTCCTGTTC